GGCAATGAGACCAAACACAAAGGAATGGGGCAGGGGCATGGCATTTAGTCACTGGCTATCGAGGGGATCAGTGGATTGTCTGGAAAGAGGGATATTTCATGGTTGAAGCCTTGATTTGCTTCTATTCATGTTCACTCCCTAATGTAGTATGAAAGTCACAAATAGAAGCCACTCTTGGGATTCCCAAGAACAAAACTTAGCTTCAACCTGAAATTTTCAAGTATTAGATGCATATCTCTTCTAACAGTGACATGAAGAAGGCACAGAAAAAGAAAACATCATTTTTCTTTTAGGAAAATCAGCTCTATTTCCTTCTATGCCACAGGGAATGGCATGAACTATAAATTGTACATGCTATTTAAGGTATGCAGAAATAACCTAAAGCTTTTGCTACCAGAAGCCTTCATATGTGATTCCTATGGCGATGTCTTACAATCACCTATTTCAGAATTACCAAAGTGTGGTTGTTAAAAAATGCGGACTTCTGGTCCCTGTATCAGACATCGTGAATCAGCACTTCTGTGCATCACACCCAGGCAAATGCATTTTCAATAAGCTTCCCATGTGATTCTACTGCAAACTAGAGTTTGGGGACCATGGGTTTATTGAAGAGGGAACTAGCACTACATTTTTTAGCTCTGCCACTGTCTAGATTTGTGACTTTGAGCAATTTACTTATGATGAGTATAGTATAATCTATTCTGCTAGCCAGCAAGATGTATTAATTTTAAGAATTAAGAGGGGTGAGCTCAAGGTGCCATGTCAGTGCAAGGTATAATAACCTGGAGGAGATCAGTGCACTGAGCTAAAATGGTTAAACTGCTTAAAGGCAGGGGTTTGCAGAAGGTAATACATTGAACAACATGGTTTATTTTTTTAGTGTACTCAAGGAAAAGCATTCTAATTGATAAAATGTTAGCTTAGCTTTTCATGTTATGTTGTCCCTTCCCTTTATCTCATAAATTTGATAGCACAGACTAACGTCTAATATGTATTTTTATAAGGATGAAGAAAAATCTCAGAAACAATCAATTTACCAAAGATTTGTGTAGTCCTGCCTTTTCAATGTATTCTGCACAATTAAAAATATCTGGGGGCAGAGCCTGAGCTATCTCGGATAAGAAGCCATCTTAACATTTGAATGTTGCTACAGACTAAACTAATGAATATTTTATTCTCGCCAGCTGCTTCATAATCCTTCTCTTGCCCAAAAGCCATGAGATTATAAAATCCAATTTCACCTTCTCTGGGGCTTTGTACCCCTGCATATACAACAGCCAACTCTTTCTGGTATTTTATTGACAAAACAAAAGGCAGCAAAAGCAGATGTAACTGAAGATACTGCTGCTAAATAAATCCTAAACCTGTTCATTTGTTCTTTTCTCCTACAATCTACAGTTCAAAACTGGGCCTGCCCTGCTGTCCTCTTGATTCCATGAACACTCCTGGAATCAAGGATCTAAGTGGCCACTAAAATTAATGTAGAAATGTGGGGAAGCAACAACTTCTCAAACTCAGTTTTAGAAAAAATGCTTCATTAAAAGATACATTTGAGTATATTAATAATAATAATAATAATATAATAATAATAATAATAGATAACATGTATTATGTGACTGATCTTTTAATACATCATTCCATTTAACCCTCACAACAAGTCTATGAAGTAGATATTATTGTCCTCATTTTACTTTACAGATGAGGAAAGTGAAGAAGAGCTAAAAATTGCAATGAATATCACAGTATGTGTACTGAAAATCATGTTAGATAGTCAGCCCAGGTTTGCTTGGCTCCAAATATCACAATTTTAACCATTACAACAAGACAGACCTGATGATTCTGATATATCTATATCTGTTAGCAAACTAATTTTTATTTGAACTGAACGAGATTTCTCTGTTAGTCATTGTTATCATTTTTCTTTAAAATCTAGTAATTATCCCAATTTAAGAGACTGTGCCTTTAAGGCATATAATAAAGTGCTCTAAATAACAAATAAGCAAATATTTGTTAAATGAATGGATACTTCAGTACTTAGAAGACCTGCAAGGAATTTCAAACCCTAAATCCTCTTCCTTATAATGAATATCTATCAGCATTATTCTCATGCCATCTATTCAAATTAGCAGTTCTTCACAGGTAACTTGTCACTATTAGTAATTACAGAAACAGTTTATAAACGGTTAACTTATTTTAAAGAGTGTGAATTTAGGGGGAGTCTATCAGATCACCCTCACTTCTGATACCAATTGCAAGTTCAGGAGTCCCCAAGACAATTTAGATTCAATAATTTCCTGGAAAGATTCAGAGAACTCACTGAGAGCTCTACACTCACAATTATGGCTTAGGACACAGATTAAGTAAGATTAAAATAGACACAAATTAAAATCAACCAAGAGAAGATGCATGTAGGGCAGAGTCTAAAAAAGTTTCAAACACAGTTTCAAGCTGTCCTCTCCCCAGGGAGTCCTGGACTGCTTTATTTTCCCAAAAACAATGTATAATGATACACACAGAGTATTGCTAATCAGGGAAGCTCATCCAAGCCTTGGCATCTAGAATATTTATCGAGCTCCATGGTTAACTTCCCACATGGCTGACACCAGTTTCCAGCAACTCTGGAAATTAAGCTGATACCATGTGACTCAATGTTCTACCATAAATGACATTGTCAGACAATCTGGCATGGCCCATACCCCTAGTCACACAAAGACACTCCTGTCAGGCATGACATTGCAAAAGCTTAGAGATTATCACAGAAGCTGAGCGGAGAGGGCAGACTGCTCTTGGGCAAGGTTAAACTCCTCACTACATAAAGAGTTAAAAGAAAATCCGAGGGTTTTTTCAAGAATATATTTTTCTGGTGTAGGATATCTAGAGGCTCAGTTACAGCTATGGGGCTAAAATGTGAACACCATTTTCCAGGCATGTGTTACTTCAGAAAATATGATTTAAAAAAGGAAACAGAGCTGATTTAGAAGGCAGCCAAGAACTACAAATATAAGCATAGATTAGCATCAAACTACAATAGAGACCAGCATGCAATTACAGCTATTTCATGTGACTGAATTAGAGATTCTAAATATGGAGGTAGATTTTAGTGGCCTTGGTTTAGGATCCAGTCCAATAATTAGACTCTGAATTCAAGCCTCTACTACATGGCTGCCCCAAAGTCAGTCTTCCTCTTAATTCCACCATCTTTTCCTCTAGCCTGTTCCAGACTCCTTGCTCTTCATCCTTTTGACTGCCAAGGAAACAGGTGGTTTGTCCATCTGGAACTCCAAGTTTTGCTCCATTCTGATCATTTCCAAATATGCTGAAGTCTCGAAGGCTTAATACATCTTGTTCCAATTATTTCAATTATTAGGTCTTTAAGTTGAAAGCAATAGCAACTTAATTCCTATTAATTTGGGCAAAAATGGACAGGGAGAATGCCACATGATTTCTGTTGTTCAAGTCACCCAGTGTGTGTTACTTTGTTATAGCAGCCCTAGCAAACTAATACACAGACTAAATATGTACTTCTGGTTATTTGAATGTCGTTTTATAGTTGTTTCATCTGATTGGTCAAAGTCCAGTACATTTTACAAAGAGAATTTCCTCTTTTGCATATGCAATTTCAGTCTCACATATTTCATTATCATTCATCAGTCTAAATCTATTGGTTTCCCTGTTCACATGACAGATTTTATTCTGTTTGGCAGATAAGTAGTTACCATAAGAATCTAGACTAATTAGTCTTATGTAAGGCATAAAGACCTTAATTTCAAATATTGTACTTTACACACCTAGATCTCTACTAAATTCCTTTAATAGATTCCAATTTTATGTAGAAATACTCCATCTTTTTGTTCATTTTGACTCTTTATTTTTTAACATATTAATCATGGTCATTATGAACTCCTTACTTAATTATATTCCATATTTAAATAACCTCTACATTCGTCTTTTTTTTTGTTTTATCTCTTGATTATTAGTCACTTTTTCTGCTTATTTGCATTTCTAATGCTATTTATTATATGCTGGACATTATAAATAATATATCATAGATGCTTTGGAGTATGTTATCTTCTTCTAAAGAGTTTTATCTAGCAGACAATTAAATAACTGAAGGATCACACTGACCCTAACATATCTTGATTTTAGTCTTTGTTTGGGTGGGTCCATTTCACTTTTTTTCTTTCTCCTAGCATCTAACCCTTACTCCTAGCACACTTCTGGCATGCTCCAAACTTCTAAGATGTGATATTTCAACAACGACAAGCTCAAGGTAGTCACTAGCTGAATCCAAACTTTAATGTCACCCAAGAACTGTGAAACTTCTGAAATTCCTAATTATATTTCAGCCTCCCTGCATTTCTTGTCTGCTCCATCTCTTGAAATCACATTCTGTGAATGTATAGTTTTATGATTCAGCCAAAGATCTAATGTAAATTTTTATGTAGATATTTTTGGGCTCCTCTACAGCTCTTTCCTGTCTAATACCTTAACCCTCAAATCCCAGTTACCACGGTAACTCCAAATACCAGTCTCTGTTTCCTCTGACAGCAAAAATGCTGCTTTCTGCTTAGACTCTATTCCCCCATACAATGGTTTGGAAATTGTACTCAGGGAGAAATCAGGGTGACTGTAAGATGTAGCTCATGTGCTTCCCTTAGCTCAGAGAACTCAGCCTTGCATTTCCTGCAAATTTTATATATTTGTCTATATGTATATATGTTTTGCTGGGAGGGGAAATAACTAACAAGCTGGTTAATCATGGTCAAAATTTAAAGTCTTAAATACAGAGTTTAGGCCTCATGATCTATTTCTTTGCATTTCCATATCCTCTTTTCACCTCTTTCCATATCTTACTAACTATAACGTAATAAAAGCATATTTCTAGTAGATAATTTCACAAATAACTATAATCCTACTATAGGAAGAATCAACATGCTATCATCCTAGAGAGAAAATCTATAATTCTAATCAGTGAACAAATTAGTATCTAGACTTCTTACCTTCCGTGAGGCTCTATGGAAGAAATACATATTCTAAACAGCTTTCATAATTGCTTGATTACTTAAATGCAACCTATGGAAAGACAGAAGTAGGTAAGGGGTAAAGACAAACACTACAAACACTTAGTGGAATTTCTTAGGTTAAGTTTCAAGTATGGGGCCAGAAGAATTCATTTATTTTCCCAAATTTTCATATCCAATGAAGAGGCACACTTTGGCCAGGTACAGTCAGACATACTTCAGTTCGTTCCAGGAAAATGACTCTGCTTATTAACACCTTGTATTGTAGAAATGATGTATAAATGTATAAATGCTTATTTAGGCCTTCTCACCTTTGCTCATGCCTTTGCTCCACCAGCAAGATCTTCTACCTTTACTCTTCTGCCTTTATTGTTCTGCTTTGTCTCTCCTGCTCCTTCATTCCCCATGCCTACCATGGAGATACAATCCATTGTTCAAGCTCCAGTTTAATTAATAGCAGCTACCACTGTTCAACATTTATAATATACCTGGAACTAAGCTGAATGCTTTACATAAGTCATTTTACCTAATTCTTCCAACATCTACCAATTAAATTGTATTAAGCCAGTTTAATAGAAGACAGTCAAAGCTCAAAGAAGTGAAATAACTTGTTCAGGATCAAAAAGCCAGAAATCAAACCCCTCTTACTCTAAAACTGATGTTATTACTCACGGCATTGCACTGCCACCCTTACCAACTCTCCATGAAAACTTTCTTGACTCCAGTACAGCAGTTTCTCCCAATCTAAACCAAGGTCCCTTTTTGGACATGTTTTACACTGTCTTGATTACTGTTTGTTTTATACTGCTGTTTAATTTTAGGTGAATATGTTTTGTTTCGATCCCTAAGTATATTATAAGCCTATTAAAGCCACAGAACTCCTCAAAATGCACCTGCATTCCGTAGGTACACACAAATACTGGTCTTACACTTTATAGTCATGTGTATATTTTTTTGTTGCCCTTTCAACACCTAGCATATTTTTATGTACAGTAATCTAATCCAGCCAATAAATTGTTCCCATTTGTCAAGAGTCCAAATGCAGGGGGTTAAATGACAAGGCATGAGGTTGAGAGGGCCAGCAAAGGTGTATGTAATTAGAGATGAACGTACCTATATCTGGAGTATTAAGTTATGATTTTAAAGTTGATAAGAGCTATCGGAACGTAATAAAGCATTTCTTTTTGTAATGTATAGAATGTTTGCCAAAAAATATTGGTATCAGATAGTATTCTATATATGAATGAGTCATGACATTTCTAAATCAGCTATTAATACTTATTAATGTCCTCTTTGTACAGAATATTTTTAATATGCCATAGCAGAAAGGTAGAATCAAGCATAAAATAAGTTAATATAGTATTTTACATTTCAAGAATAATGAACACTAGATCTATTTATGCAAAGCAATATATTAGATTAAGAAAAATATTTAGAAAATTCAGAAAGAAAAACGCTCTAGCCAAACAAACTTAGAAAATAGAGGAAAAACTTTTAGAGCTTGAACGAAGTCAATAATTCCTTAAGAGGGAAGAGCAAATTATATAAATGAGTATTTATTGATGAAATGAAATAAAACCTGATACTGAGAGATAAGACTAATTGGACCCAAGAGATACTGACCCTACAGGGACTTCCACGTCCAACTATAATATAGTTTTTTTTCCAAATGCAAGAAGAGTAAAGGTTACATGTGAATTCCTGATAAGTATGAAATTACTCCAATGCTCATTTTTCTAATTCCAAAATTCTTGATGAAGAATGCACAAGCTCTTACTCAGAACCACAAAACTGAATATGAAAAAAAAAAAGTTAAAGTAGAGAGGTAGGTATCTCGTGAGCAGTGCATTTGCTTACCTGCAAATGAGCCTGAGTGCCCCCTCAGTAACCACTTTTATTGGGGCATAGGAATGGAGCCACTTCATGACAAAGAAGTGAGGAATGTGATATTTATCTGTCTTGTCCACTGTTTCAATGTGTGTGAGTATAAAGAGTATTCTTCTCTTATTGATGAGTTTCTTTCTCTTTGTATAGACTGAGATAAAACCCACTTATATTCCTTCAAAAGTCTTAGGGATAACTCATGAAAAAGCCTCTTCAATTTAGCCAGTGCACTAAGATGTTTTGACTAATAAATAATTTCTATTAAGCCTGCAGAAACTTTCCTCTGCACATAACTACTATCTAGAATCACAATGACTTTTATTTCTTATTAATGCCTGTGAAACTTCCAGGAATTATAACTATAGCTTTCCACCACTTTCTGGCCTTTCCATAGCTATAGATTTTCTAGCCATGTGATCTTACAGCCAATTTAGTTTAGTGAAACTAGGTCCAGATATGGCATCAAATAACCTATGTTCAAATTTCAGCTCTGCCTTTTTGTTAGACTTGTGACTTTGATTAAACCAAGCATTTCTCTGAACCTCAGCATATATGTCTATAAAAAAGGAAAATAATATCTGCCCACACTTATCCACAGGATTGTGGTGAGGCTCAAAAGAATGCAAAAATGCTGTGTAAATCACAGTTCTATAAGGATTGTTTATGCTATTTCAAGAGTTTCTTGTAGCCCCTTCTTCCCAATCAGCCAGCAATAACTACCCTTAATATTTTCCTTTATTTTCTTCTAGTGTTTGTCTAGAGTATACGTACATGTGTTTGTGCATATGTATAGATTTACTTTTTAAATGTATATTTTATTATGATACATTTATGTATTATAGTACTTGCATATATTATGACATATCTGTACATGTATGTATCCCTAGGTTAACAAATGTTCTTTTAAAACATGGTTAATAACAGCTTAATATCATAAGTCCATCATATATAATATATAGAATGAAGTATGATATATTAATGTATGCATTTTCATCTTATTAAAACTTATTTCCAAATATGGTAATAATGGCTTGCCTGCATTAAAAATATGGTGATTCCTGTTAGAATAACTATAATCAACAAGACAAGTAATAACAAATGTTGGAAAGGATGCAAAGAAAAAGGAACACTTATACGCTGTTAGTGGGACTCCAAATTGGTACAGCCACTATGGAAAACAGTATGGAGGTTTCTCAAAAAACTAAGAATTGATCTACCATGTGATCCAGCAATCCCTCTATTGGGTATTTACCCCAAAGACTTGAAAACCCATATCCGAAAAGATATTTGCACACCAATGTTCATAGCAGCATTATTCACAGGGGCCAGGACATGGAAGCAACCAAAGTGCCCTACAATAGATGACTGGCTAAAGAAGTGGTGGTACATACATACAATGGAATATTACTCAGCCATAGGAAGAGATGAAATACTGCCACTTGCGACAACATGGATGGACCTTGAGATAATCATACTAAGCGAAATAAGCCAGACAGAAAAAGTTGAAAATCGCATGCTATCACTTACATGTGAGATATAAACCTAAAAGCAACAAATGAGCAGGACAAACAAACAGAGACTCATGGACATGGACTATAGGTTAGTAGTTATCAGAGGACTATAGACTAGTGGTTACTAGTGGGGTGGGGGGATAAAGAGGGTCAAATATAGGGTTTAGTGTGAGGGTGAAGTGGGTAAAGGGGATCAAATATATGGTAGCTGAAGGAAACTGGACTTTGGGTGGTAAACACATAATAGAATATACAGATGTCAAATGATAATGAGCACCTGAAAATTATATAATTGTATTAACCAATGTTACCCCAATAAACTTAATTAAAAATTTTAAAATAATAATAAAAAATTAAATAAAATAAATGTGATTAACAATTCTACCACATGAGTGAACTATTATTTTTTGACCATTCCCTATTTTTAAATCATTAAAAATACTCATTTCCATTTTTTTGCTTTTTATTTTGTTGATTTTTGTTGTTGATGTTACTGAGTTTATTTGCTATCATAAATGTTACTGTAGTAAACATTTGTGTGCAAAACGCTTTTTATGAATCTCTAATTCCATAAAAGAGATCTCTAGAACTGAAATCACTGGATCAAAGGTATGGATTTTCCTAAGGCACTTGCTAACATATTGTCAGATTCTGTTCCTGAAGTACTCTACTATTTAGACAATGCAAGAGAAGGTCAGTCTTTATGGTGGCCTTGTCATGATTACCTATTTTAATCATTAGAAAGTTCATAGGCAAAAAAAAAAGAGCATCTCTTTATTTGTTTCACTAGTGAAGTTGAAAATTTGTCATGTTTACTGATTTTCATTATTTCTGCCACGAATTATTTCTTCTCATCCTTGCTCCATTTTCAGTATTTTCTTTATTGATTTGTAAGCATTATTTACACTTTATGAAATCAATTTTCAGCTGTCATAACTCATAACATTTTCCAAATTTGTCATCTACATTTTAATATTGCTTATGATTTTTGACATTGTTTTTTTAAGTTTTTTACAAATCAAATTTACTAGCCAGTTTCTTTGCTGCTTTCCTCTTTTACACATTGTGAACTAAGTAGGGCGAATCCCACTTGCATTCATATAGCAATTCATTCTTTTAATAAAAACCAGCCCCTATTCAAAGACTTAGCAATCTAAAATAAAGTTAAGATGTGATGATACTGATTATTGCTATTCTGCTAAATCATCAGCAAGGAGATTATTAAGTATTTCTGGAGCATGAGAAATTGGTGCCAACTTGGACACAGCTCTATTTATAGGCCACCACTCAGATAACTCCTGTGCTGTGGCATTTAGCCAGTGGTGAGGACCCAGAAATTCTGACACTTGGAAAGCAGGAAGTCTGTACTGGTTCTATAAATCTATAAAGAGAGTCAGGCTCATGGCAACCAGTGAGAGGATGGGACAACATCAGAATCAGTTCTGCTAGAGAAGAGTGGTCTGAAAATGTCTGAGATGCAGAGACTATAATTAAAAAGGTGACCGTAAAAGGAGTTCACCTCCCAATTCTAAGGTTCTCTGTTTCATTGGTCTCTCACTGTATTTGTCTCTGTGCTGAGTAAGAGGAAGCCTATGGCTTGCCTTATAATTAAATTCTATATTTTTATCTTTGGAAAGACCCCTGAGTAGGCAAACTTGC